CCAATTCTTTGGATACATTTAAAATAGGACTACTAAAACACCAGTCAGTTTACTTTATGAACCTTAAAACAAAGTATAATGGTGGGCATAGATATATGGACAACAGTGATCATTATTAAGATCCATTTGTGATCTTGGACTTTAATACATGTATGATTTAAATCTGACACAGCAATGTTTTCCAAAGTACTTTCTGAACATATGTAACAAGCTCAACCTTAAGCTTGAATGCTAAATTTTATATTAAAAAAAAAAATTCTGAACTACTAAAGAGAGGTTTCTTTCTGTAAACATGTATATAGTACAGTAAGAGTTAGAAAGCTGGGACTGAAATCGTCTGATCACCTTGAACAAGTTATCTAAGCCCTCACCCTATTTAAATTCCACTCAGCTCTTCAATTCTGCACTTCTATGCAAATGGAAATATTACTATTTGGAGGAAGTTGTAGGGTAAAAAACTTAAAAGTCCCAGAATATTTTTAAAAAAGCAATGATTACTATTTCTATGTGCACGTCTTACCACCTCAATCTTGAGCATGGCCAACTAAAAAGTCACTATCAACTGTACAAGTCAAGATCAAAACAATACACAGAACACAATTAGGAAGAGACAGCTTTTAATAGTTAGCAAAATAAATTTAAACAATATAAAAATGTGAAAACAAGACTTAAAAATTTAACCTAATACATATAAAATCCACCCTAATCTTAGTAACAGGACATTAATTCCAAACGTATGTGAGTGAAATAAATTTAGGTACAGAAAATTCTGGAAGATGTTAAATCATCAATAAGAAAATATTTAAAAAGAATAATCAGAAGAAAATTAATTATTACCCTTGTTGACATACCTCTTCATCATCAAGGAAGGACTCAAACCAGTCCCACAGATCTGTAGGGGGCTGTGTGTACCTAGAATTACAAAAGACTGATTAAACTTAAGTCAATTAAAATAAGATATTTATTGAAAATGTAGAGAAACACATGCTCACCTTATATACATAAATCCAAGGGCTCTAATATATGGAGAGTCTGTGTGTGTTATAAGACCCATCACTTGCTTGCGAGTTAATTTCAGAGTAAATAATTTGTATAACAGGCAAAAAGCTGTAGAAACAATTCCTCCTGTTCCAACACCTCGAACCTTCAAGGGAGAGAATTAAGAAAGTGGAAAGGAATTAACAGAGATACTTAGTATCAACTGATTAATCCTGTTAGGTATTAACACAAGATACAATCCAGAACTGAGAACAGACCATTTAAAAAAAAATGCTTTTCCAACCCCAGGGAACACTTGAATTTAGATTTTTAAAGAACATAAACTAATTGTAACTTGGTACATAATTGACAAATTTTTAGTTTTCCGAATATAAACTTAATTATTAGACACAGAAAAACTGAAAAATGCACGTACTTCTACTTACCCCTCCGCACATCCCTGTTTGGCCAGCTGTTTTCCTGCTTCCTTTCTCCCATGGTTCAACATGCGTGACCTGAAAACAGAAAAGAGAAACACAACAAACATTCATGCTTTCAATTTTTACAAAATGATTCAAGTAAACCCCAATCCATAACAGAGCAGCTCTTCCAAAAGTTTGAAAGTTGGGCATTTTGACATGATGTATATATTTTGTTTACATACATTTTAAAGTATGTAAACCACCTCTGAAAACGGCTTAGATATTTAAACAGCACCAATAAAGCAACTAGGGTTTAACAAAACCTTAACAACTTTACACTGCAGAAATCACATTAAACTAGCTTTGTAGGAAGCAGATACAGGTGGAGACATGAAATTTCTAGTCTTATACACTTAAAAATTGATAACCAATTTTGTATTATGAATTACTTAAAAAATAAAAATCCTCATTTTAAAATGGATTTAAAGCCCCAACTTAAAGCAGAAAGTATTAACAAAGCTTAAGTATTTATTAAAAAAACTTTAAAATACCCTTAATATTTCAGTTTCGTGGTGATTTAAAATTCCACATTTTAAGATGAAGAGAAAACTTGAAAATAATTTAAAAAATACAAAAAGGAAAAAACGAAGTATGCTAAAGTAGTAACAAATTACTTCTGATGCAAAATCATGAAACTTTATATTTACACATTTTTTTTAACCACGATCAAGCATTACGTTCATTTCTGACTAAAGATGAAATTACAAAGACCATACCTACACATAGATTATTTTAGTTACTGTGTATTTTCAGCCGGATTATATGAACCAATTCAATTTTCCCCCAAAATATAAACTGGGTCAAAAACAGTAAGTATAACTTGCATTGTCAAGTATATTCAAAGATGCAGATCTTTGCTAAAGTGGGGCACCCTATAAAAACAATATATTTCACCTAAAAACAGCAAAGAAAGAATATTAGCTGTACAACAGATACAACAAAGGTGTTTTGGAAAAATAAGATCCATATTTGTTTCTTAACTTGAAACAAAACCAAATGGTTTTGAAATCCTGTTCTTTCACTACTATTTCTAAAATGTTACTTCCAACCATCCACTATTACATGAAATAGTCCCTGTCAGTGACTCAGACAGAAAAGCATGCATTTAAATGTAAACACTACACTATTTTGCTCAGTGGACTAAGAGGCACTGCTTTAGAGTTTTATTTCCTTCCCCTACCTTGCTGTGAAGAGATGTTTCAATTCCTTAAAGGCTAACCAAAAGGGTGGATACCATACAAAATCGACTTACAAAATAGGAAGCCTACATATTTCAACAATTATTTGATCTGGATAACAAAACCTGAGTCTTCAGTTTTATAACTAAATTTAAATAATTTGTAGTAGAATCTTAAAGTGTTTCAAGACACAGTATGTAAAATCTGAAAACAAGCTTTCCCCTCAGTCGTATTAACATTTGCCTAGGTTATTAAACAGAACCTGCCACAAAGAGCAGGAACCCGATCTTCAACTGACTGAAGTTTACGGCATAAATAAAGCTAAGGGTTAAATATTCACCACATTGTATCCACACTGGAAAAAGGCCTTACCTTAAAAAAAAAAAAAAAAAATCTAGTTCACAGTATTACAATTACTTACAATACTTAGTACACCGAAATTTCAGTTTACTTTATATACCCAAAGTTGAACTATATTCTCAAAATAAGATCTCCTATCAGAAGCAACTAGTATCTCAAAATCCTTTAATAAGCTATTCACTTATTAGGGGGAAAGGTGGACAAAACATAACCTAAAGGCGAATAAAGAAAATTTCCTCTTATCACCTCTACAGATATGTTCAGGTCAGGGAAGATATTTTATGTGGTCTGTTAAGTGGTTTTTAGGAGTCAATACAGACAAACCGTATTGTATTATGGCAGATGTCCTAGTTTAAGTATTTAAAGACCGTTAAGACTCACTGATATTCTTTAATACTATAAATTTACCTTAGGAGGCCTGGAACATAATTTTAAAACTATATAATTTTTAGGTAAATGAAGAAAGCCTACCAAATTCGTGAGGAAAAGACCAAAACCAATGGTCAAAAAAAAAATTCTAAGTAGCCGTTCATTTAACCAGGGAAATGCATTTATGGCGATTGAGCATGATTAATAATGCATACCTCTACCTGCGACCCTGGGCTGCTCCGAGCCTCGCTGCAAGACTGAGTCAATCCTGCTAACGAAACAAGAACTGAGACAAGAGTGCAGTGAGGAGGCGCCAGGTGAGCTCCCCAGCACAGCCAAGCCAGCACCGACCCTGCCGCAGAAGCCCAGGGCCCAGATAATTCTAAATAAGCCCAACGCACAGGTGACAGAAACCACTCACTCCTGACCTCCTGCTGCTAAAATTTCCAGGCCTTCGGTACATCTTTTCCACTTGCACCTCTCCACCCTCGACCCTCCCACCCCACCCGACACACACACTGACCATTTCCCTGTCCGGATCGGATAGTGAATACCAACAACACGAGGCCAACATTTAAGTCAATACACGAACTGGCCCGGGGTGAGCGGGAGAAGCACCAACAAGTTGGCGCTGAGCAGATCCAAGTCAAAAGAAAGAAATTTAAACTGTAAACTGGACAGGCTTCAGTTACTCGTTTCTCCTCTCCCCCAGTCCTCCCTTTCCAACTCCCCCCAGGGGCGGGCAGGAGGTTGGGGGAAGAGAGAGATCAATGGCGGCGGGCTCTCCCGGCCCTAAAAATCTGAAAAGGAAATGAGAGGGCGGCCCCACTTTGACCCCTCCCTGGCGAACTACAGGCCACAGCTCCCCCTCCGTTCAACCTTCCCATATCTACAGATTATCAGACCTCGAGGGCCGCCTCCGCCCGTTTCCTCCAAACCCCTTCCTCGGAACTTAACATCCCCCCCACCCCGCCAAGTCTAGACGCTTCGTACCTTAAAGTAGATCTCGTCCACCACCTCGTGGTAGGTCTTGAGCTCGTAGAGCTGCACTTTAAAGTAAGGCGACGATAGGATATTGGTCAAGATCATGGGGTTGAGGTTCATAGTCTTTTCGTTGCCCCACAGCGGCAGCACATTGCCCTGCTTGCCCGAGACTGCCGGCTTGGTGGTGCCGCCGCTGCCGCACTGCTGCTGCTGCTGGGCTGCGGCCGCTGCCGCCTGGTGCTGCGGCTGCGAGTTGCCTGTCAGCGCGGGGCTGTTGTTAGCCATGTTGCGGCGGAAGGAAGCAGGGAGGGAGAAGGGAGGGGGAGGCGGCCAAGCTCGATCTCGCTCTTCGGGACAACGGTCCGGGACCCTACTCCATGGAACGCCGTCGAAGAGGGGGCCGCCTCGCTGTCCCCCAGCTGGAGAGAGGGCAAACGCGACGTAAGAGACGGACCCCTGGTCGAGAGCAGACGCCGAATCGTGGGCCTCGAGAACGCCAAGCAGACACTGAGCCGGCGGCCTAGTAGCGCGCTCTCTTCCGCCAACTGCCCCTGGGAGCAAGATGGCGGCCCCGGCGGATATGACGCAACACGCCCCAGAATTCCAAGCTTAGCCGATAGCCAATCAGAGACGCCCAGGTGGGCTGGAGATTCCTCTTCCTAGTTCCTCGAGTTCCGCGCGCACTGCGGTCGCGGCGCTGGCCTCCACTGCCTAACTCTTTGGAGACTTACACTGGGGATTTGGCGGCCAGGGGCGGGGGTTATCTGTCTGATCTGTCTGTTGGATCGCGGCCCTGATTTCTCCTTTTCGGAAGCTTAGCGGGAAGGCGTTCGGAGGGCTCTGTGCTTGCAAATTCGTGACTCTTGATTCCTGTGGAGTCTCTTGGGTTCACAGTTTTCATATTCTCTGATAGGACCGCACTCATTCATGTGATACCTATGCAAAGTCGTCCGCCAGGCTGTAGTGTCTGACCGGAGGTCTTATTATTGGAGCCTAAATTTATTCAACAGTAAGGTCGGGATAACATTTTACTGGACTGTTAAAAAAAAAAAGCATTTTAGCATTAAAAGAACTGCTGTACCTGTGGCGCCGTTTTGTTACGTGTCTTCTATTTGAGTACTTCCATTCTGCCGATGCACTCTGATTGGGGGAGGAAGAGTTGGAAGAAGCTGGTGGGTGTGAAAATGAGTCAGAATCGGTCTCACCTTTCAAAAGCTACTGTTAACCTAGAGAAGATTTATGGTGTTTGGGAGCTAAGAGAAGGTTTAAAAAGGCAGTAAAGTTTGTGCAAGTATTCATGAACTGGGCAGTTTTATAAACAGAAAGCAGCCTGAGTATCCATAGAAGCAAGGAAGATCAAGCTCAGTAGCGGGTAGTCTGGCCTACCAACGCCAGGAAATACACTTATGGGGAAGTAACGACTGGATAGGAATTAGACCACCTAGGTGCCTGGAATGCCAAGATGAAACATTAGGAATTTAATGTCATTTAAACTCAAGGGTTACAGCTATGACTCCAAAGTCACCTTCGATGGTAATATGCCTAATAGTCTCTGGTTCCAATTCATTCTTCACAGTGTTGCCAGAGTCATCCTTAAAAGTGCCGCACTCCTTACTGAAAACCTTGGATGCTCAGCGTTATCCTAATTGCCAAAGTCCAAGGACATTTTCCATTCTCCATCCTATTTGATTTCTCGTTGTGGCACTTTAGTCATGTAGTCTTGCCTAGAAACTGTTGAAGTTGGAAGTTTGAAGGTGGAGGTTTTTTTTTTTTTTAAGTATTTAAACCTTTTATTATGTATTCGAATATAGACTATTAACAGTGTTGTGTTCTTTTCAGGTGAACATTGAAGGGACTCAGCCATACGTATACGTGTATCTACTCTCCCCCGAACTCCTCTCCCATCCGGGCTGCCACAGAACATTGAGCAGAGCTCCTTGTGCTATACAGTAGGTCTTTAGTGGTTATCCATCTTAAATGTAGCAGTGTGTACATGTCCATGCCAAGCTCCCTAACTATTCCTTCCCCCTATTCTTACCTCCACCCCAAGTTTAAGTTGGTTCTCTGTCTGTTTCCTAAGTTCATTTGTATTTCTTTTTAGATTCCATATATAAGGGATGTCATATATTTTTCCTTCTCTGTCTGACTTAATTGAAGGTGGAGATCTTAAGTTCAGTGGCTTAGACACAGAGGAGGGGAAAAGGATAAGACAGAAACTTAGGGGAAAATCCACACTTGGATGAAGTTGAACCAGTAGGAGACAGTGGTGTGACAATGCAAGGAAAGATGAATAAGAAATGAATGATTAGAGTGATTAATATTTAGAGCTGAACAGTACATAAGTGATCATCCTGTCTAGTTCCTTTATTTATACTGGAGAACTAAAGCTTTCAGAAGTGGTTTTTAACTTTCTAGTAAATCTTGTTTTTCTATACATTAGTATAGACTTCCCAAGGAAAATAGATGATCCCAAATTTTAATGAATTACTGTTAAAAATAGCATGAAAAAAATTTTGAACCCAGTTTTTCCTTTGTGTGTATTTTTTTTGCCTTGATAGTAAGTTTATTAAGTTTACTCAATGACATTAATTGCCAAATCCTACTAAATGCTTTCAGTTCAGTTCATGTTGTATTCGACTCTGTGACCCCATGAACCACAGCCGCCAGGCCTCCCTGTCCATCACCAACTCCCGGAGTTCACCCAAACTCATGTCCATCGAGTCTGTGATGCCATCCAACCATCTCATCCTCTGTCGTCCCCTTCTCCTCCTGCCCTCAATCTTTCCCAGCATCAGGGTCTTTTCAAATGAGTCAGCTCTTCGCATCAGGTGGCCAAAGTATTGGAGTTTCAGCTTCAGCATCAGTCCTTCCAATGAACACCCAAGACTGATCTCTATGCTTAAACCTTTTAAAAATTCATTTACCTCTAGACTTTGAGTGAAAAGCTTAGTAGAGAGATTGAAGTTTGATGTCAAAGTTTCAGTGGCATCAAACTAAGTATTAATATCAAATCAGGTATTAGGATAAAGTGCTTGACATATTCAATGAATCCCTAAAACAGCCTGAATGTATAACTGTTATCACCATTTAAAAAGTTATATTTAACTTAGGAATACTACACTGCACATAGATAAAGCTGGGAAGTTTGGTTTGCTTCATTTTGACACATGTACACTTATTGTATTAGTCTTTGCAGGCTATAAAAAAACATCACAGACTGAGTAACTTATTAACAACAAAAATTTATTTTTTACAGTTCTGGAGAGTCCAAGGCCAAGGGAAAACTCTCTTCCTGTTTCATGGTTGGCCCCTTCTAGCTATGTAATCACAAGATTGAAGTGATGTGTAAGTTCTCTGAGATTTCTAAGAGCACCAACACCATTTGTGAGGGCTCCTCCCTCATGATTTAAGTACTTCTCAAAGGCTCCACCTCCTAATACCATCATTTATGGGGATTAGGGTTTCAAATTCTAACTTCAAGGGTTAGAACTTTGAGAGGGACCCTTAGGTCTACCTCAGTACCCATTAAACTATCATCACAATCAAGGTAACAATCATACATCATCCCAAAAGTTCTCTTGTGCCCTTTTGTAATCTGTTCTTTCCCTCCATCTCCATCCCTAGCAATCACCTTCTGTCAATATAGATTAGTTTGCATTTTCTTGAATTATAATAAATAAATACAATCATAGACTAGGTTCCCTTTTTACCTGGCTTCTTTGACTGAATAATTTTGATATTCATCCTTGTTGCTTGTATCAGTTGTATATGTGCTTATTTTATTTTTTTACTGTGTAGTATTACATGGTATGGAATTACTACTATTTGTTTACCCAATTATCTGCTGGTGGACATGTGGATTTCTAATTTTTGTCTATTACAAATAAAGTCACTATGTACATTTGTGTACTAGTCTTTGTGTAGATGTTTTTGTTTCTCTTGGTGAAATACCTAGACATAAGACTGACTGAGTCATATGATAGGTATATGTTTAACTTTTTAAGAAACAAACTGTTTTGCAAGGTGACAGTACCATTTTACATTAACACCAGCAAAGTCTGAGAGTTCCAGTTGCCCCATAAACTCATCAGCACTTAGTATAAGGATTTCTTTTCTTTAATTTTAGTCATTCTAAAGGGTGTGCAGTAGTATCTCACTGTGGTTTTAATTTACACTTCCCTTATGACTAATGATGTTGAACATCATTTCAGGTACTTACCAGCATTCATATACCTTCTGTTGTGAAGTAACTTCAAATCTTTTGCCCATTTATTAATCCTTTGAAACACGTGTTGCAAGGATTTTCAGTCTGTTTACTGCTTTTTAATTTTGCTAGTGGTGTCTTTCAAATACTTTTTTTAAGTCCAAGTTACGAAATTTTTGTTTTGCTGATGATTTGTGCTCTTTTTGTTCTAAACACTTCCATCTTTAAAATTGAAATGATTCTCTTATGTTTTCTAAGTTTTATAATTTGAGAATTGATACTTAGGTTTGTGATCCATTTTGAGTTAATTTTTGCCTATGGTGTAAGGTAGAGTTGATTTTCTTTCTTTTTTTTCCCCATGTGGCTATTTAATTGATCCAGCACCATTTGTTGAAAAGACTTATTTCCCTGTTGAATTGCTTTAGCATTTCTGTCAAAAATCAACTGACCCATCATGTATGAATCTACTTCTACTTTGTTCCATTGGTTTTTATCTTTTCGCCGATACCAAACTACCTTGATTACTGCAGCTTTATAGTAGGTTTTGAAATCAAGTAGGTTAGGTCTTTCAACTTCATTCTTTCTTTTAAAAATTGCTTTGGTTACTCTAGGGCCTTTGTGTTTCCATCAATTACTTAAAAAAAAAAAGCCTGGCATGTGGAGGAAGGTGCTTGATAAACATGTATCATTTATGAATAAGAATTAAAATGCCATATGTAACTAAAATAACATAAAGTGTTCTCTAATATTTTGAAGATTTTATTGTTCAAAACAAACTACAAAAACATCACAATTCTGAAGTAACAAAAGAAGCCATTGACTAAAGTACCCAAGAATAAGAATCTTATTCTATCCCTGTTTCCTTGATTATGACTTCAAAATACTGAATCAGATGAGGTATGAATTGAGATTTAAGAATTATTAGGTTTGGGGAAAAATGGATACATGTATATGTATGGCTGAGCCCCTTTGCAGTTCACCTGAAACTACCACAACATTGTTAACTGGCTATATCCCAATACAAAATAAAAATTTTTAAGTTTGGGAAAAAAAATTAAAAAAATAAAGAATTATCAGGTGTTAGTAGAACCTGTCAATCGTTTCACAGTAAACATAAATCAAACCATCCTACTATATGCCTTAAACTTACACAGTGACATATATCAATTATTTTTCAACAAATTGAGAGAATAAAACAATCAATTCCTGATCCGGGAAGATCCCACATCCTGCGGAGCGATGAAGCCCATGTGCCACAACTATTGAGCCTGTGCTCTAGAACCAGGAGGCTGCAACTACTGCTCCAGTATGTGCCACAAATATTGACGCCCGTGTGCCCTGGGGCCCATGCTCCACAACAAGGGAAGTCCCCGCAATGAGAAGCCTGTGCACCACAACTAGAGAGTAGCCCCCATACACCACAACCAGAGAAAAGCCCTCACAGGAACGAAACACCGGCACAGCCAAAAATAAAGAAAAATTATAAAAATAAATAAAAGAAACTAATTGCAACACATCTGACCCCAAATGTTAGCTGTTTCCCCCACTCCCACAAGCCAACCAATTTTTCATCTCTTTGTACCCTATGTGTCCTACAATTTAATTGCAGTCCTGACACTAATTACTCGGAGTTAGACATACTGCGCAGGTCAAGGGCTCAGTCCCACAAGACTTCCCAATTTAGGCATCAGTCACAGGGAGTGGTGAATGAGACCAGGACCCTTAGGGCTCTCCAGCTGCAAGTCCTTTCTGTGCCCCTTGGTTCTTGTTTGTAGAAAGTAGGCTTCATTCAACCTCTTTGACCTTCCCTGAGTTCCTATCACCACTCACAGAACTCAGAACTCAGAACACAGAACTTTGCTTCTTACTACAAAGGCTATTATAAAGGAATAGCCAGGTGAAGAGGTACATAGCGTGAGGTTTAGAAGGACTTCAGTGCAGAAGCTTCTATCCCTGTGGAGTTCCGGGTGCACCAGCATACAGATGAATGGCTGTCTTCATCAATCTGGAAGTTCCCTGAACTCCATTACTTAGAGGTTTTGTGAGGCTCTATTATTGATACATTGGGATGCTTGATTGAATCATAAGCCAAGGAGGTCAGAAAGAAAGAAAGTGAAGTTGCTCAGTCGTGTCTGACTCTTTGCTACCCCATGGACTGTAGCCCACCAGGCTCCTCCATCCATGGTATTTTACATGCAAGAATACTGGAGTGGGTTGCCATTTTCTTCTCCAGGGGAGGAGGTCAGGATAGGGCTGAAAGTTTCAACCTTCTAATTACCTGATTTGGTTTATCTGGCAACCAGTTTGTATCTGAAGCTATCTAAGTGCCCAGCCAGAATCACCTTACTAGCATATAAATGATACTCACCAAAAAAACAAACAACCCCACCAAAAAAAAAAACCAAACAAATAACCCCTCATCATTCTAGAGATTTGACGGATCTTAGAAGCTCTTGTTGGGAGTTCCCTGGTTGCCTAGTGGTTAGGATTCTGGGCATTTACTGCTGTGGCCTGGGTTCAATCTCTGGTTGGGGAACTGAGATCTTGCAAGTACTGCAGCATGGCCAAAAAAAGAAAAGCAAAACAAAACAAGAAGCTCTTATTTTTGGAACTGAGGGCTAAGAACCAAATATTATAACAAAAGATGCTCCTATCACTCAGGAAATTAACAAGGGCTTTAGAAGTTCTAGTGCTAAGAACTGAAGACAAAGACCAAACATATATATTTCTCAATATACAATATTTATTTATTAAATGAAGAAACAAATTAATAAATTATTGGTTCCACTTGGAGAGTAAGCCTGATTCAAAATCTTCAGTAAATGTGAGGACAGCCCAGGAAGTCAGTTAACTCCATGTCAGAGAAGGATAGACATGTGTCTCAAAGATGCATCAGTGTTATTCAAGGGCGAAGCAGTAATCATGATGTAATGTAACATTCATAAGAATGAACCTGAATTATTTAAATTATGGTTATGAAGGCATGGGATTATTTTAGAAAAGAGGCAAATTTTAGAAAAAAATAACATAAAGTTATTAGTTATTTAAGTTTTAAATGATTAACACCTAGTTATCTGAAAAAGCCTTATCTTCATCGTTTCGTGTAAGTGGGATGTTGCTGTAAAGAAAAGGATAGTCAGTTGTTAAGAACACAAACTCTGGGGCTTCCCCGGGGGCTCACTGGTAAAGAATCTGCCTGTCAATGTAGGGGACACGGATTCAATCCCTGCCACGTGCAGGAAAGTTACAATCAAGTTACAATGCTATAACAAAACTCCTTTCAGATCCATCTACTTGTTTATATGAATGTTTATATGTATATACTTATATATACAAGTATGAAAAAATAGCACGAATTCCCTGGTGGTCCAGGGGTTAGGACTTGGTGCTTTCACTGTGGTAGCCCAGGTTCGATCCCTGGTCATGGGGGAACTGAGATCCTTCAAACTGCACAGAATCGCCAAAAAGAGGATAGTATTTATATTATGCTGTGTCTCATCTTTTTTATTTTTATTTTTTGCCTTGCTGCACAGGATCTTAGTTCCCTGACCAGGGATTGAACCCATGTCCCCTGCAGTGGAAGCCTGGAGTCTTAACCATTGGACCACAAGGAAAGTCCCATGTGTCTCATCTTAGAAATCAGCAATATTCATAAACAGCTACATGTACTAACTGTTTAAAAAGATATGTCTTATTAAAAGATGTATTTCTCATAAAATATTGCTTTCATGTTTAATAATCACTTATCAATATTTATAGTATGTGCCATTTTGATCAATTGTGCATTAATAGTAACTGTTGAAAACAATCAGATAGAAGAAAAACATTAACACTTAAAGCCTTATAATCCTAGGAGATGAAATTATTTTCTTTAACATATATAGTTGTTTAGAAGAGAAGTATGATAAGGTGATCACTAGAAGATGTGTGAACATAAATATGTCATTTGGAAAAAATTTTATAAGTAGAATGAAAATACTGGATAAAGGAGGAGTGATATAAAATTTCTTACTTCATATGGAGCTTTTTCATGTCTTTTTTTTTTTAATTGGAGGATAATTGCAATGTGGTGGTGGTCTCTGCCATACATCAGCGTGAATCAGTGATAATCATATATATATATCCCCTCTCTCTTGAGCCTCTCCCAACCCCCTTCCACCCCTCTAAAGCCATCACAGAGCACCAGGGGGCTCCCTGTGTTATGCAGCAGCTTCTTGCTAGTTTTCTATTTTACACATCAGAATGTATACATGTAATGTTACTTTCTCAATTTGACCTGCCCTCTCCTTCTCCCACTGTGTCCACTAGTCTGTTTTCTACGTCTGTGTCTCCATTTCTTCGCTGTAAATAGGTTTCTCAGTACTATTTTTCTAGATTCCATATATATGCATTAATATAGGATTTCTCTTTTTTATTTCACTCTGTACAACAGGCTCTAAGTTCATCCACCTCATTAGAACTGACTCAAATGCATTCATTTCCATGGCTGAGTCACAGTCAACTGTATATATGTACCACAGCTTCTTTATCCATTCATCTGTCAGGGGATATCTAGGTTGCTTCCATGTCCCAGCTTTTGTAAATATACTGCAATGAACAGTGGGGTACATGTGTCTTTTAGAATTGCGGTTTTCTCAGGGTATATCTCAGTAGTGGGATTGCTGGTTCATATGGTAGTTTTATTTCTAGTTTGTTAAGGAATCCCCATACTGTTCTCCATATGGCTGTACCAATTTACATTCCCACTTCATGTCTTCTTAAAATGACTGCTGTATCAGTTAGTTATAGTATTAAATTTCATTGAATACTTCAAAAAATTTTTATTTTTTGGTAGCACTGCACAGCATGTGGGATCTTAGTTCCCTGGCCAGGGATTGAACCGGGGCCCCCTGTAGTGGAAGCACAGAGTCTTAACCACTGGACCACCAGGGAAGTCCTACACTGAATACTTTTTAAAAAGCAGTGTAAATATTATTTTCAAACACCAATATTTATAATACATAGCAAATTAGATCCATTACAACCACTGAAGCATTTGGTGAAAAATTTGACATCAGTTAAAAAATGTGTGCAACCAAGAGAAGAAGAAGACAAGTCACAAACTGGGAGAAAATATCAGACATGTATGATAGAGGACTTTTATCCAAAACATACAAAGAATGAGAAATTCAGCAAGAAAATTAACAAGCTGATTAAAAAATGAGCGAAAGATCTAAGTAGCCACCGTGCCAAAGAAAATATTGCTTCCCTCGTGGTTCAATGGTAAAGAATCCGCCTGCCATATTTATAATAAATTAGCAATGCAGCTTTTGCATTACCTGCCCCTCCGCTCCCAACACACACACACCATTGGGTTTCGCTTGGGTGCTTACGGGTAAGTGCATGCACACGAGGAGAAAAGTTACATAAACTAAAGCTGTCAATCAACTTGCCAGTCAAATGATGCAGGACACAGGGAGGGACTTTCCACCACTCTGAAAAATTAACCCTATCCACACTGTGGGGCTGCTTCTGGTTTAATTTTAAGCAGCCGGCTCTTAGCTTTTCTTGGGAGAGTACTTCCACTTTGCCAATAAAACTCTTGCTCCTTAAGACTGTATGAGTCTCTCATCTGAATTTTTTTCCCTTGAGAGAACCAAAGAAATCATCATCGTTCCACTGGTGAGACTTCTACTTCCTGTCTCTATGAATTTGACTATTGTAGATATCCTGTATAAATGGAATCATACCAAAGAGGAGGAAAAATAACTTTTCCTTTACTTTTTTGAGTTCTTGCCTGAGATTCCTTGTAATAAAACATGGATTAACAAGAGAAAAACAGATAGAAGCTTATTAATATATATCTAGGAAGAATGAGTTACTCTCTGAGAAGGCTCAAGCTACCATCTTACATAATGTCTTCAGTAAAGATAAAGGAAAGACATTGGGGTGGGGGTGAGAAGAGGCCAGTTATGGGAGATCACCAGGAAAAGCATGGTAAAAGGGGTAATGTTTGTTTTATAGATTTAAATCAGTTATCTTCTTTCTCCAGTAAGATTTCAAGTGATTTAGTCATCGTTCTCTGCCAGATAGAGGGAGACACTCTCATAAACAGAGATTTCCTTTATAAACATATATTTCCATTTCAAAAGGGTAGCGTCTGTGTTTTCAGAGATTCTTCTGTGTCTGCTGTTTCTTTATTTTTTTAATTTTAATTTTTTAAAAGGACCAGCCTTTTCTTTCTTTTCAAAATATTCACTTATTTGGTTGTGCTGGTCTTAGTTTTGGCATGTGGTTTTTACTTGCAGCACATGGGGTCTTTAGTTATGGCATGTGAGATCTTTAGTTGCAGCATGCAAACTCTTAGTTTAGGCACATTGGATTAGTTCCTTGACCAGAGATGGAATATAGGTCCCCTGGAACACCAGGGAAGTCTCTGTCTGCTATTTCTTCAAACAATCAGCTAAAAACAGTCCTTATGCCAAAGAGGCATATTTTGGGGAGCCATTTCTGCTATCCTGCCTTTGCAACTTCCCCGAGAAGTTCCTGCCTTTGAAACATCCCCAGAAGCTCAGTTGGTACATTGCTCCATTTCTCATTGAATTAATCTCTTTATCCTGAGAATAGGTCAGTTAAATTAAAGTGTGCTATCTAATGTCAGGAGGCAGTGATGCAGGTTGGCTTCCAAAGTCACACCTATATGGTACAAGCAATCATGTATTCAATAAGAGGCATTGCCATGGAAACAGAAGAAAAACAAAGTTAATGGTTAGAACAGAATATAAACAAAAATTTTGAGTCTAGGGAGCTGTTAGTCAAGATTTCTAGATGTTGGGCTTGAAGCATCTTCAGAATGAGAGGCAGCAGTAATCAGATAGACTTTCCTGTTATCTCTGGTTGATGTCAGAAGGTGTTCCAGTGAAATTTCTGAGTGGGCCATAGAGCAAAAAGCACAAAGTTGGTCTGGATGTGAGATGTTGTGGTGATTTCTCTGAAGTTTATATCAAGTTATTCAGCTTCAGCTTTTAGGTCTTTGAGAAAATGGCAGTTTTTGTCTTTATGATTTCAAGTAACAAGAGTGGGAAAAATGTGGAAATGTTAATTTAGTGACAGATATTGGTGAAAACTAGAGGAATTCAGGATTCAGTCTAATTTTCAGGTAGATAACAAAACCCTTATGGCAGAGAGTGAAGAGGAAATAAAAAGCCTCTTGATGAAAGTGAAAGATGAGGGTGAAAAAGTTGGCTTAAAGCTTAACATTCAGAAAACTAAGATCATGGCATCTGGTCCCATCACCTCATGGGAAATAGATGGGGAGACAGTGGAAACAGTGTCAGGCTTCATTTTTTTGGGCTCCAAAATCACTGCAGAATGGTGACTGCAGCCATGAAATTAAAAGACGCTTACTCCTTTGAAGGAAAGTTATGACCAATCTAGATAGCATGTTGAAGAGCAGAGACATTGCCAACAAAGGTCCATCTGGTCAAGGCTATGGTTTTTCCAGTGGTCATGTATGGATGTGAGAGTTGGACTGTGAAGAAAGCTGAGCACCGAAAAACTGATGCTTTTGAACTGTGGTGTTGGAGAAGACTCTTGAGAGTCCCTTGGACTGCAAGGAGATCCAACCAGTCCATCCTAAAGGAGATCAGTCCTGGGTGTTCATTGGAAGGACTGATGTTGAAGCTGAAACTCCAGTACTTTGGCCACCTCATGGCGAAGAGCTGACTCACTGGAAAAGACCCTGATGCTGGGAGGGATTGGGGGCAGGAGGAGAAGGGGACGACAGAGGATGAGATGGCTGGATGGCATCACCGACTCGATGGACATGAGTTTGACTAAACTCCGGGAGTTGGTGATGGACAGGGAGGCCTGGTGTGCTGCGATTCATGGGCTCATGAAGAGTCGGACATGACTGAGCGACTGAACTGAACAAAACCTCTTGGCAGGAAAGCAATGACAAACCTAGACAGTGTACTGAAAAGCAGAGACATTACTTTGCTGGCAAAGGTCTGTATAGTCAAGACTATGGTCTTTTCAGTGGTCAAGTACGGTTGTGAGAGTTGGACTGTAAAGAAGGCAGAACACCAAAGAATTGATGCTTTTGGACTGTGGTGCTGGAGGAGACTCCTGAAGGTCCTTTGGACAACAAGAAGATCAAACCAATCAATTTTAAGAGAGATCAACCCTGAATATTCACTGGAAGTATTGATGCTAAAGCTGAAGCTACAGTATTTTGGTCATCTGATGCGAACACACAACTCATTAGAAAAGTCCCTGATGCTGGGAAAGATCAAGGGCAGAAGGAGAAAAGGGCATCAGAGGATAAGACGGCTGGACAGCGTCACTGATGCAGTGAACATCAACTTGGGCAAACTCCAGGAGAAGGGGAGGGACAGGGAGGCCTGGTGTGCTGCAGTCCATGGCATTGCAAAGAGTTGGACATGACTGGGTGACTGAACAACAACAAAACCTCAAAGGCAATGAACAGGACTAGAATCCAGTATCCACAAATCCAGTGTCTATTGAAGATTATTTTTCCTTCCCCACCCACAATGCAATATGTGTCCTTTTGTGACTACCCTATTTCACTTAGCATAATGTTTTCCAGATTCATTTATGTAGTAACATGTCAGAATCATTCCTTGTAAAGGATGTATATGCCACTTTTGTTTATTCATTTATCCGTTGATGGGCATTTGGGTTGTTTCTACCCTTTGCTATTTTGAATAATGTTGCTGTAAGAATATTGGTGTAAGAATATTCATTCCAGTCTCTGCTTTCAATTCTTTTGGGTACATAAAGTTAACAGATAAACTGAGGCATTTTGGAATTTTTAAGATTTTGATCAAACAATGAAAAGAATTTCAGCAAACATCAGTTCAAATCTGGTAGCTCCTAATTACTGTCAGGAACTAAAGGAAAGGCTTTTATAGGAAAGATGCCAAAGCAAAGCAAGGAAATTACTTGACTGGGTATCACTTGTTGACAAAGAAATGCAGAAGGTTGCAATAAGAAGAGTTCATTTGGGGTCTTGGGAATTACAACCGAGGAGACACACATTTGGGTAAAACCCAGTATTTTGTGGAAGAGAAAGTCAAGGGCTTATAAAGGCAAAAGCCACAAGGTTGTTAAAATTGTCTGACAAAAATTATGACTGACTGGACACCAAAAAGGAAATATTTGTCTTTAAGGGATATCCTATCAGACGTTCTTTCGGGGTAGAGGTTCAATAATTACCTTGAGTTTTGGAACACTGGGCAGATGGTTTGGATGCCTGGATTAAGAGTCAGTGGTGTTCAGTTCAGACTCTACCTAGGCTCACACATGCATGAGTTACACTTCTTCAACGGTCTTCTGGCTCCATTTTAGAGAGCTTTCTTAGCAATACCTATTTCATTTTGTTTTTTGCTTTCACAAGCTTAAGCTGATGCCTTATTCGGAAAAACCTACTTGTTTATGATTGGTTGTCCTTAGGTTTCCATTACTCTCCCCCACTGTGGGCTAGCCAGGCATGTGTGGGATCTTAACTCCCCACACCAGGGACGGAATCCATGCCCTCTGTATTGGGAGCTCAAAGTCTTAGATACTGAACAGCCAGGGAAGTCCCTAGGTTTCCATTTCTTAACACTGAGGCATTTGCACGCTTCAGTTTTGTTTATACAGGCTTTTCAGGGCATTAGAGCCACCTCAGTCCAATAGCCTCCTTATTTAATTGATTTAAAAATACACAGAAGTGGAATTAACTTACTCATGCTTAAAGATCCTGTTTAGATTATATATTCTATAATAGGGCATATGCTCCTTCAAGGAAGGCTGTTGGTTAAAATTTTTGTTTCCTGGAGCCTACAGGAACCTGCTGAAGCTTATCTTAAGTTACAAACTTTTCCCTAGGAGACTAGAACCCTCAAAATGTCAAAAATAAAAATTGTGCAATGTATCTTTGTGATGCCCCA